ATTTCTAAATTTAGTTTTTGGGGGACCAATTCACCATGTCGGGGGGGGGGGGGGTGCCGTAAATATCTCCGGCGGTGTGAAGGCTAGGAATTTTCATGGTTTTTCCTGTCGACACTGTTCGGTGGGTAGCGGTTGAGGCCACTGACAGGACTGGGAAGTATGTAAAAATGATGAAGATTTGAAGATGTTCAGTTCAAGCATTTGCCAAGTCATGTCCTTGGCCAATTCCCGACAGGGGTTGTTGTTGCTTTTTCTTATTACTTTTTTTCTGGTTTTTAAATTACGGTTTACCAACCCCCCCCCCCCCCCCCCCCCAAATTGTATTATGGTCTGGGCCCTCTCCCAAAACACACCCTTCTCTCCCCATGTAACGCCTCATGGCCACCAGCCTCCACCCCCCCTCCAAAACAAAAGGACCGCACCGTACCTACCTCCGTACCTCCAGTCGTCCTCCTTACCGCACTATTATACGCTGACCGTGAGGGGATTGGCTCAGGTAAAAAAGTCTTGACCACCTTTGCAAGGTATTTTAAAACAGAGTATTGGTATGTTTTAACACTACACACCTGGTCACCAAGCCCCCCCGCCCATGGGAAGCGAATTGATACAGACACAGCCGCCAGCCCCCCTGCATACAATGTTCCCCCTTTGCAAAAATGCTGAACGAGCGTCTTATCCTGCGGCGGACCTATCCTTTTTGTATGTCTGGATATCAACATACCGTACGGAGTACCACAGGGTGTATATATTCTCGAATGACCACAAGGTAATACCCATCTAAATTCTGCATCCTCTTCTCCTTTTTTTTTCTGCCTCTCTTCTTGCAAACTCGTACTATTTGGAAGTTTTTTCATTGCGTTCTGTTTCAAGTTGCGACATTGACATCAAGCCTTTTTTTTTGGTACCGAGAAACCAAAACACTGTTTAATCCTTCTTTTTTTTTCTGAAAGGAAAAAAGGGGGGTCAAACCGAGTAAAAGTACTCTTCAAAACCCAAAAATAAGTGATACTTTAGCAACTCACCGACACACCAGTTCATAAAAGAGAGAAAGAAAGAGAGAGAGAGAGGGACACAGAGATAGAAAGTCCATACATCATGTTGTCCAAAGGCGTCGTGGTTGCTATAATCCTGGCCGTGGTGGGCGCCTGTTTTGTCATCATCATCATCCACAGATGTTTCTTCGGGCCTCGTGGCTTTGGGACGAGATGGGTCGGGGGATGGATCCACAACCCACGAGCCTTTGAAGCCAAGAAGCGCAGGAGCATGAAGAAGGAAAACGACCTCCGACGCGACCAGGAGGAGGACACCACAAAGGGGACACCGGTGTGGTTTTCTCGTTGGGTCAAGAACGGCAACCTGCGCCACTGGGTGGTCTACACCCACCACACAAAGTACGAACTGAGGTTGCCGTCGGACATGACGACCCTGGAGAAGATTGCAAAGACGGTCCTGTCGACATCTCAGTACATTTGTACACCGGCGGCCTGGGACAAGGAGAAAGAAATGATGGAGATGCGCCAAGAGTACATCGAACAAGACGGCAGGCCTTACGCGGAAGGTTATTACATTTGCCTGATCGGTTGGACCTCTCACTCCAAGGCAGAGGTGGACGATAGGTTCGCCACCGTCGCACGACAACTCGGCAACTACAGCGTCTACCACAACTGTCAAACCCTGTTGAAGTTGTTTGCGAAGGAAATCCTCAACTCCCACCGGGCCGCCGACCACGGTTGGTTCGCCCAGAACGTCAAGACCGAGTTCCAAAAGTTGTTGGACCTGCCGCCCACCGAGGAGATCGTCGCCAGACAGTTCCAGATGCTCGAGGCAGCGATGCAGGGAGACTACAGCCAACAAATGACTCTACAACAGCAGAATCACGTCCACGCCGCCCATCATCGCTTCATCGAGGGGGTGGTGCAACAGGCCGTGCAGAGGCACGCGCACCACGCCGGTGGTCACGGAGGGGCGCCCGCTCCGTGGATGTACACCCCCGGTATGCCAATGGGCCCGCCAGCGGCGACCCAACCCATCATGATGGGCCGGTGAGTACTCACGCTTACCTCGTGTGGAGAGAGGCTCAGGTTGGATGGGTCGAAAGGACGGCGGGCGTGTTTGTGTATCTCAGTCAATCTCAGGTCGATGTTGGCAATCGTCACACCGAGGTTGTTGATGGGTCATGTTGACATGATCAAAGAGAGAGGAGAGATGGATTAGCAAAGACGTTTGATGCATCATGTTTGAAAAGTGGAAGGAATGGACTGATGGAACAGCAAGGGCGTTTGATGGTCATATATAGGTCAATCTAGGCGTTGGTCTCGGCGTAGTTGAGCGGTGGATGTACAGCTTTTGACATGGTTAACAATTCGAGTCGGATTTGGATTTGGATTTGGATTATAGCATTTGTTGTTATATTGTTTCGTTTATGATTCTTTTTGCAACCTTCGACATTCTACCGTATGTTCTCTGTGCCTCCGTATCGCGTACTTTGCATGAAACAGAAAGAGCACAAGGAGCGTCAACACACCACCGCCGAGTACGATCAGCGGGGACAAGATTGAAAACACGGTAAAAATATAGCACGCCAAGTTGAACCTCGAGTCATCACGGAGCTGGGTGGTTGTAAGTCCAACCTGCATCGCCGTGAGAACGACACCGATGTACACGACCAGACTGACGAGCCATGCTGTGTTCCGTTCGAAGAAGCTCTGGTAAGTTGTGTAAGTGTACGTGTAGCCGAACAAGAGCGTCTTGAAGTCTCCACGCGGAAGGGCGACGAAGAACCGACAGATCTTGTTGAGCCGGCTCAGACGCAGCTCGCCGTACCAGTACCTCGGACTCACTGGAACTTTAACAATTCCAGTATCGGTGTCGTGGAGGTGATCGTAGACTGACGAGGCAAAGTCGGTCCAGGCAACCCAATCGACAAAGGCCGGAAGTAAGTTGTGGGCTTTGGCGATCTGGAAGTCGCTCTGTTCGCTGATCAGCCAGAGATACGAGAGCAAGAAACCGCAGGCTGCTCGACGTGTCTGGTTCGATTCGTTGAGGTAGATTTCCCATGCTTGATGGTCCAGGAGAATCTCGGGAAGTGGTTTGATCAGGATCTTAGTATCGTGCCAGACCAGATGACAGTCTGCCTGCTCGGTGAGGACAATGGTGCGACCTTTACTGAGTTGGCGGTGGAGTGGGCGAGCAATCTTGGGAAGACCTACGGTCCATAACAGACTCTCGATCTCATTGAGTCGGCTCACGTCAAGTGAGTTTTGGAGATATTCGTACACAGAACCCGCGACGGCTGGGTTGACTCGTTTGAGGCGAACGTTACTACTTAGATCTTCGTGGCTGTGGTAGGTGGCGGGAAGTCTTGCACTCAACGTATGTGTTGCAGGTGATTCCGGTTGATTACTTTTGAGTATGTTGGTGCTGTATGGTGAGTCGGACCTTGGTGGGAATGGGATTGCATTTTCCTTTGTAAAGGGAGGGTCAAGGCTTGGTGTTGAGATGATTGTCATTTTTGAGGACAGGTAAGAGTAACCCCGTTGGAGTGCAAATCAAGCACTCTAATGATGCTCTTTCGAGATGTGAAAGCGATGCATGTACTGGAATGGCGGTGTGATGCTTGAAGAAGGGTAGTCACAGCAAGGGTACAACTCCAGGCAGCAATCGCCTAGAGACTCGTACGGACGAAATATTCCATTCGGGCCTTATGAGCCTGATTGTCGACCAGGGTTCGGGTGACGAAGTCCATGATCAATGTCAAGGAGATGATTGGGGCGAGTCGCTGTCCAAGGGGCAGGAGATTGAGGCTGTGCCGAAGTTGACCCTGGCGATTCTCATTTTCTGCCCAGCAAGAGGATGTGATCTTGAAAGGGGCGTCGAGGCCTAAAAGCATCGTTCTTCCTCCTCTTGCTGGTGTTTTCAATTTTCATATTCAGTCCCAGTCTTGTTTGGGGCATGCACCTTGCCGAACTCATGCTGCAGCCCGTGTCGATAGTCTCTTCGTGACTTGCCACGCTCCAAGTCCAGGAGAAGGAGTGTTTGATTTTGCTGCCCTGAAATTCCGTGTCAGTGCAGGTGTCCCTTTTCGACCGCCTGATTCGCATCATCCACTGACGCAGATCTACAGGTGAGTCATGTTCAATAGTAACCTACTTCAAAACTAGTTGATATATCATACCCGGCAAAATCTTGTGAAAAAGCATTGCTTCATGGCCGGTGTAGTGCAGTGGTGAGCACGTTTCGTTGTGGTCTGGCTTTGTCACTTCACTCTTCCAGTGCAAGAGATGAGTCAAATGCAAGAACCGAAGAGACCTTGGTTCGAACCCAAGCACCGGCAATGTTTCTTTTCTTCCCCAATGGCTTTTTTTTTGTGTTTTTGCTCCAGTCATGTTCGGACATATGGGAGCGGTATTTGTGTCTGTATCCAGCACCAACTGCTTTTCTCTTCGCCCTCACATACACCGTTTGCAGCCGCCCGCTCAGGTTGCGATATTGGTCGCGATGAGAGATTTCGCAGTTTGGGACGTCTTGAGATTGCTGAAAAATGTACCGTTTAGCGTGATGTCCGTGCCATAGAAGATCGTGGCGTAAATAAATATCCGATCGGATACCTTGAGGTGACGGGTCGGTTGCTAGGAATGCCATCTCTTGCCATCTCACACTTGCATCCTGGCAGAGTCGATATGTTGGGTACCTTGCGCTTCCATTGTCACCTTGGTGATAACAATCCGTGTATTTCCCGTCTCTTCATCGTATTTTCGTCAAGTGACGCCGGCCAAGGTTGAGGGTAGAGTATTTTTTGATCTCTTCGCAATACCCTAATGAGTTCAACTGGTCAGATCTAGATAGGAGTCACTCAAGCATACCTCCTCGTCTGTACTTACCTTCCACACCCATGATTATCTCCTAGTAGTCAAGTTCTGCTATAGCTGCTTCCCAAGTTTCGCGGTGGAATTAAATTCGTTGTAAGGCAAGGCTGCGCGAGGCTGTACCTCCTCGATTTCACGGCCAATCAACATTAATTCTGGGCATCGACTACACAATGTCACGGAACAAAGGAAACTTGGGTTCTTTTTTTTGGGGGATTTTATTGAAAGCTCTACAGGCTTTCTGCAGCTTAAGGCTGCGCGACGAGCATAGTACTCATGCCTACCGTCGCCAAAAACAAAAAACAAAAAACAAGAAAGCAAGAAAAACCAACCAAGGCCCCAAACGCCCACGCTCACACATAATCCAAATCACACAACAACAGCACAGGCAGAGACCCCCAGCACCGCCCGGCAAACACCACCACAGGAGACAACACACCTCAACACAACCGCCACCATCACCTCCGTCTCCCATCTCCCCAGTCTCCCTCCTCAACACCCTCCATCTTCCCCCCTCCACCCCTCCAACCCTCCATCTTTCTACCCCTACCGACCGTCGCCCCCAGAACTAGTACAATCCAGGCCAGTTGTGAGTCCGTCTGAAGTGTCGCTGCAGCGACGTCTTGTGCTCGATACCCCGATGGTGCGGGCAGACCAAGCACTGCCAGGCCTCCACCCTCCCGTCAAGGTGGTGGAGGTAGTCAGTGCCCAGCTGCGGCGCACCAGCGGGGGCCGGCACCTGGGCGGCGGCGGGGGCAGGGGCAACAGCAACGACGGGCGCCGCAACCGGGAGATTCTGGAGAGACAATGCCGCCGCCCGCAGCAAGGCCTCGAGGTTGCCATCTCCCGCGATGCGGGCTCGCCGCGCGCTCTCATCAAGGAATCGGACCGTCTGTCGGCGAGACGCGACCACCCTGATGCAATCGTTGACCAGGGCTTGAGGGGCGACGGGCCACCTGCCATTGGCAACCGCCGCGTCCCTCAAGCCCGCCAACCTCGCCCACATTCTATCGTGGACGTCCTCGTCCATTGTCAACGAGGTCTTCAACACCTCCAGATTCGCCCGTTGTAGGGCACTGACCCCAGTGGTGCCCCCAATGGCAGCCACCAACCCCGCCTCAAACAGGTGCACGCGCACCAATTGCTCGGTGCCGTGGTAGCATCGATATGATGCCATGATGTGGGACGCCCCGGTCCAATAGGCTTCGCGGGCGTGTTTGAGAGAGACTGTGTTCTGTCCCAAGAGCTCGTTGAGGACGGCGGGGATGGCGGCCGCCACCGCATAATTAATGATTCCAACTTGGGTGGACATTCTTGCGGCTGATAGGTATTGAGGGGAGCTTTCGAGAGAAGGGACGTCGGAACGGACTTGGTCCAGGAGGTCGGAATATGTGAGAGAAGAGATTGGCAGGGGGAAAGTCGCTGGAGTAGTCTTGAAAATGTTGTTCTCGATGTCGTTTGAGTGGTAAATGTTGAGTGTAAGGGTAACAGTCTGTATCTCGGAAAGTTTGACTTTCTCGTTACACTGGACTGGGACACCACTCGGGCGGAGGAGTTCAATGTTCGATTTTGAGGACGTCGACTGGTCAGAGAAGAGAGGAGAGTCTTGAGAGTTTGATATGACAAGTCCACGAAGAACAGCGGCCTGTGCTTCTTCTTCTCGTTGTTGCTTTTGAACGTCTTCAGGAAATGGAACAAGGTATCGAGTGACTGAGGGATCAGGAAGAGAGAAATCGGAATGAGGGATATCTTCAGCCATGATGACCAGTTCACTTTCTATGACCGCTTGGCGAAAATTAGGTGGTGAGTAAGGGTCTGGCGTGAATAAAGGAGGGAAGAAAGTAATTCCGATCAACGCGGTGAGGCGGTATGATAACGCGGTGATTGAAGTTGGAGGGTAAAAACAGGGCGGTGAAAAGTCGTCTATGTCAGAAGGTTCGTGAGATCAGTGGAAAAACAAAGATCTGGCCACGGTCCTGGACTTTGATAGAGATGAATTGTCACGATGTAAAAATCTTCCGTCTGGTTTTGCAAGAGATGAAAAAAGAATTCTGTTGCTTTGACCGTCTTATTTTCACGCTGGGGAGAAAGAAAAAGAAAGAGAGAAAGTTGGCGGAGGAGGAAGAGAAGAAATATGTTTTGAAGAATGGCGAAGCGTTAACACCATAACGGCGATTGAGTACAGCAGGGCGCTCAGGCGACGAGATGTATAGGCGCTGAGGGGCGAAGAGACACTGATCCTGGATCATCGTGTGGAGCGTTGAAGCACACATAGCGATTGTCTGTGTAAAGAGGTTCAGCCTCACCATGAATCGCTTGGTCGCGACATCGTCCATGGAAGGCCATCTATCCACGAGGTACGCATGATTGCAGGAGGCATAATTCAGCTGGACGGCTTCTTCAGCGTTAGGGATCTTGGAAAATCGGAATGCGACCTGTCTTACACTATAGCCTTGGGGTAGAAGTGTGGTGGGTAGAACATACTGGCACAAAGGCTAGCACCATTTCAAAATGTAGACGTTGATTGGAACGGGCCCTTCGCGGAGAAGGCAAAGGTCGCAGAAACAACAGGATGACTTGTATTGAGCTATTCCGACGAGCGTAAGAGGTGGTTACGTGAGAAAGCATTTCATCGTGGTCGAGGCCAATTTGAACACTGATAATCGTTCGAGGGCTTTGTGAACATGTGGAATGCGCACTCGGTTGTTGTAATAGTGCCTGGATCCGGGACCTATTGCAAGTATGTGCGCATCGGACACAAGTTAACAGAGTTCCAGTCGTCAACTTTGGAGATGACGCGTGGTTCCGCTGATAAAAGGACAAGTATTGGAAGGAGTTGGAGCTCGATGTATTTAAGTATCGGGCGAGTTCTAAAACTTTTGCTAGGACCAATTTTAAGTCAGCTTTAGACGGCGTTGAGTTTCGACATCGTGCTCGAAAAGGAAGTCTAAGTTGCATTTCGAAGAAGCTTTGTGGATTTCGTGGACCAAGAGTACCCGGAAAAGACTTCAGCTCGTTGGATTCCCTGAGCTGAAGCAGAAAGAGTCCTGCTATGTTTATCTGCTGGCTCGGACCAAGATGATCTGGAAGGTCTGCTGCAAAAATCGTCATTTCACCAACCTCGCCATCTGACCCAAACATCTGTGATCATATCTGGATTGTCACTGCTGGAGTCGACCACTAGATACCAGCCGAACATTGCGAGCGTGATGCAAGCATGGTTCGGCCATAAGCGAAGCTTTTGTCCATATTGCAAAGGAAGTGGATGTGTAGTGTTCTGAGCGTCATAACCTACTATGCCGTGCTCTTGACTGACACGTGTGACAATGAGGCGATCCTCCTTGCGGATGTTGTAGTTTGCTGGCATATTCCAAGGGCTGACAACAGCCCATCCACGATAGTCTTTACAAGGCTCTCGAGCAAGAGCAAGTACGCCTGCAGAGACGAGTGCTTCTGGGTGCTCGGTGCGCGACGGGTACAACGAGCATACCTCAGTGATGACTGAAGCCGCAATCGTATCGTATGGATCATTAGCTGCATGACGGCTAGACGCAGCTACCTGCTGAATGTCGAAGATGGGATAAACACCGGCGTGAATCTCCAACTCGAGATTCGACTTTGTCAACTGCAAGGATTCTTTCAGAGCATTCGCAGAATTGGTGGAACTGGGGTTTGAAGGTAAGACGTTCTGTAGACTGAGTGCAGTTGGGGACGCTCCCACTGAGACTAGCAATGGTGACTGGTGGTTGCTTTTGAAATTTTGCGAGGCCTCTCGGCAGGCATCAATTTCAGTCTTCAGCCAGTCCATAGCGTCATCAGGATTTGAGCTACCGTAACTGAGGCTATTGTGTGAATAGAAGCCTAACAAATGGAGAAGTCCATCCTGGTCAGCTTGGCTCATCATTTTCACAAGCTCTTGCATTTCTGGAGAAGCAGGATGGAGCCCGGCCCTATGGGATCCTGAATCGGTCTTGATAAATATATAGGCTGGGAAACCTGCAAGATTCTTAAAAGTTTTGAGAGATTCCAATTGAGATTCATCGTCGATCATCGCTGTAATCGACCCTTCTCCCAACTCGCGAGCAATAGTGGCAAGTCGTTCGACATGAGACGGGGCTAGCGGTACACCGTAGAGCACATTGATTTTTGCTTTGCGCTGTTTGTACTCCAGAAGCAATGGAATGAGCTGCTCAATTTCGATCAATGTTGACACAACAAGGCGCACGTCGTCGCAATGTTCTCCAACTTGCAATCGAGTGGCTTCTGTAGTTTTGTGGGTTTTGACATGGGCACGAAAACTGAGTCCATGCTCCTTCACAGCGTCAAGCATGGCCTGACAATTGGCCCTGACCTTTGCCACATCAATGACAGCGGCAGGCACTGGAACTTCATGGAGAGTACGACCTCGATAGCGCTCCCTCAAGCTGTCCTTTGGCGACAGTGGAAAATCGGCGGGAGACATACTGCC